TGGGTTGGAGAAGCAGTGAAGGGGGAAAGCTAAGCAAGAGAGAACCCCAGGGGAGGGATTTCGCCTCCCCTAAAACTCCTTGGTAGTCCCTCCTTTTGTTTTGCCCTGTTTGTTAAATAAAACAGTAATCATAAGCAAATATTAATAATACTAATTTTAAAAATATTGTGAGTCATTTATTGCAACATTTTCAGATCACAACAGTCCTACATCCAGTAATATTTGTTAGGTCCCATTGAAATATATAGGGAAAAATAGATCATGCAGTTTGTCTTTCTTCCACAGTGGCAGCCATAGATTTCCTAGAACACAAACTCACCATAAAAATATAAGATGTGACCCAGGTGATATAGCATATAGGTATTAAAAAGGCGGAAAAGGTATGAATAACATTTAAATAATAATCTACAAGATCTGCCGTTTCTATTAAAATGAAATGGTTGTGAATCAGCCCTGTAGCTAGACAATTTTTGGTGGGGTGGCACTGCATGGAGGGAGGCACTGGATGATGGAGTGGAGGGAAGACACATGCACAGCAGAGGAAGGGGATGTTGCAGGCTGGCATGCGTGCACGTCAGGGCTCCTATCCCTCCTTGGTGCCTGGCAAGTGGGCCCGACAGCCGCTCTCACACAGCAACCGGCTGGGCCTACTGCCACCCTCAGCTACAGCCTCAGCAGCAGGCCGGCCCAAAGTCGGCCAGGGCAGGCAACCAGGTGGGCGCTGTTGTCACTTGCCACCCTTCCTTCCCTCCCTTCCTCTGTCCAGCTCTGGTGCTGCCTCACCTGCCAGTCCTGGAGGCGAACTGGACTGGCAGCGCTGGGTGAGCTGTCTCACTCTGCCTGGCCACCACCGGACTCTGACCAGTCAAGAGGGACAAGTGCTGCCCGTGGGGAGGGATGCTGGCTGGGAGCAGGACTGGGTGGCAATCGGCTCAGCAGTTAGGCCAGTGTGGCACAGCTTTCTAAAAAAATATATCAGGGGCTCTGGGAAGATTCAGGGGTCAGGGGAGATTCGAGGCAGGGGAGATCTGGGAGGGGGAATCACCCCAAGGGCCCCACAGTAGCTACGGGCCTATTGTGAATTATAATCAAGCAGACAAAGAGGTTTTTATGAGTAACAAATGGAATCTTTCTGTGATTAGTACCTTCCATGAAGCATAAGCAAACTTTGTGTCTAAGTGTCTGTGGTCAATGTGGTTGGTGCCTTACCCATAGACTCATAGAATCATAGAGTTTGAAGGGATCCCCAGGGTCATC